CTGTGCATGGGGTTGCTTTGAGTCGGAAATGACTCGACAGCACTTAATAACAACAACAGCAACAATATTAACAGGTCTTCCTCATTTTTGTTGTTGTTATGTGCCATCGAGTCGGACCCGACTCATAGTGACCCCTCCTTGGGTTTCCGAGGCAGTATCACTACAGAAGTAGATTGCCCCATCTTCCTCCCAAGGAGTGGCTCATGGATTTGAACTGCCAGCCTTCTAGTTAGCAGTCAAGTGCTTTAAGCACTGCGCTATTAGAGCTCCTAGGTCTTCCTCATAGCCGTATGGATAGTATCCTGTCACTGGCAGCACTGTACTTCAGGATAGATCTTGAAACATTCTTTCTGATGATGAATGGCATGCCATTCCTCTTCAATTTGTCCTTCCCGGCATAGTAGATCATATGGTTGTCGGCTTGAAAATGGCCTAAAGCAGTCCATTTCAGCTCACTAATGCCTAGGATATCAATCTTCATGTGTTCCATTTCATTTTTGACAACTTCCAATTTTTCTAGATTCATACTTTGTACATTCCATGTTCTGATTATTAATGTATATTTGCAGCTGTTTCTTTCCTTGAGTTGTGCCACATCAGCAAAAGGAGGTCCTGAAAGCTTTACTCCATCCACATCATCAAGGTCAGCTCTATTCTGAGAAGATGGCTCTTTCCTAGTCATATTTTGAGCTCCTTCCAACCTGAAGGGCTTATCCTCTGGCACTACATCAGACAATGTTTCAGGGCTATTTTTCAGTAATATATCAGACAGTGTTTCACCACTATTCATAAGGTTTTCACTGGCCAATTCTCTGAGAAGTGGACAGGCTCTTCCTTCTTCTGAGTCTGTCTTAGGCTGGAAACTCTGCTGAAACCTGTCCACCACGGCGAGCCTTATTGGCACTTGAAACACTAGTGGCACAACCTCCAGCCTCACAGCAACACACAAGCCACCACAGGACAACAAACTGACAGACAAGTTTGTCTCTCTTAGCTGTTCCAAACTGCTCCACTCCTGTTCCCTGGCTGTCCTTACCAGTTTCAGCCCTCCAAAAAGCCATCTGCTGCCATCTTCCAGCCATCCCTACCAGTTCTGGCCCTCCAAAAAGCCATACTTACTCCATGCCAAGTAATTTGGAAGACAGTTACTTAGCCAACAGACTAGAAGAGATCCATATTTGTGCCCATTCCAAAGAAAGATGATCCAACAGAATGTGGAAATTACTGAACAATATCATTAATATCACAGGCAAGTAAAATTTTGCTGAAGATCATTTTAAAATGGTTGCAGCAATATATTGATAGGGAACTTCCAGAAATTCAAGTTGGATTCAAATAGGAGGTGGCAATAGGGATATCATTAATGATGTCAGATGGATCTTGGCTGGAAGCAAAGAATATCAGAAAGATGTTTACTTGTGTTTTATGAACTATGCAAAGGCATTTGACTATGTGGATCATAATAAATTATGGATAACACTACAAAGAATGGGAATTCCAGAACAATTAATTATGTTCATGACAAACATGTACATAGACCAGGAGGCTATCATTCAATCAGAACAAGGTGATATTGTACAGTTTAAAATCAGGAAGGGTGTGCACCAGGATGGTATCCTATCACCATACTTATTCAATGTGAGTGTTGACCAAATAATCCAAGAAGCTGGACTATATGAAGAAGAACATGGCATCACAACTAGATGAAGACTCATTACCAGCACTGCTTGCTGAAAGTGAACATGGCTTGAAGCACTTACTGATGAAGATTAAAGACTACAGTCTGAAGTACGGATTACACTTCAACATAAAGAAAATGAAAATCCTCACAACTGGACCAATAAGCAGCATCACATTAAATGGAGAAAAGATTGAAGTTGTCAAAGATTTCATTTTACTTAGATCCACAATCAACACCAATGGAAGCCCAAACCAAGCAAAACTCACGGCTGTTGAGTAGGACCCAACTCATAGCAATCCCTCCTTGGGTTTCCGAGGCAGTATCTCTACAGAAGTAGATTGCTCAATCTTCCTTCCGAGGAGTGGCTGGTGGGTTTGAACTGCCAGTGTTCTGGTGAGTAGTCAAATGCAGCAGTCAAGAAATCCAACATGGTATTGCACTGGGAAATTGGCTGTGAAAGTCCTCTTTAAAGTATTGAAGAACAAAGATGTCACTTTGAAGACTAAGGTGCACCTGACCCAAGCTATGGTCTTTTCAGTCACCTAATATGCATGGGAAAGCTAGACAATGAATAAGGGAGACTGAAGAAGAGTTGATGCCTTTGAATTGTGATGGTGATGAAGAATACCATGGACTACTGGAACAAACAAATCTGTCCTGGCAGGAGTGCAGCCGGAATGCTCCTTGGAAGCAAGAATGGCCAGATTTCATCTCACCTATTTTGGTCATGTTGTCAAAAAGGATCATTCCTTGGAGAATCATGCTTGGTAAAGTGAAGTGTCAGCAAAAAAGGGGAAGACCCTCAACAAGATGGATTGACATAGTGGTTGCAAGTGGGCTCAAGCATAACAAGAGGTGTGGGGATGGCACACAACCAGGGATTGTTCAGTTCTGGTTTACCTAGAATCACTATGAGTTGGAGCCCACTCAATGGCACCTAACACCAAGAACAACAGCCATAGTATCAAGGTACTCTCCCACATGGCATCCCCTAAGGGCAATATCATTAAGAACAGCAGAGTGTGTGAATTCTGTACAAAACAGTCCAAGTGGAGAGAACATGAAGCTCTCTCTTGAGCTTTTCTCTTTTACTCACCTTTTATCAGCCAGAGTTGCTCGTGCCACAGCCCAGGCTGCAACAAAGACTGCTGGAAACCCTGTAATCAGAAAAGGATGCAAAGATATTATTTCTATTACAATAAAGTGGTTTTTTTTTCTCATACTAATTTTATGTAAGAATAAATTATTAAGGGTTGAGAGAGATAAACAGACATGAGAAATGTTGATATTAGGACAAGAAAAATCCACTTCATCTTCCTCTTGTCCATCTGCAAAATGAGCTGAGAACACTGATGTTATTTGTTCCCAATAGTCTGAAGATGGTGGTCAGCCCAATCTTCATTGAGAGATGTTGTAACAAGCCATATTGGGAGGAGATTGAAGTTCCTGGGGCCAGAAGTAGACAGAGGCTGGTGTATTTGAGTCTGACTCTTAGGACACTGATCACCACATGCTTTCAATGAGTGAGGCATGGAGAGGGACGTGTGAGGAGTTGTTATTTCAAAACATTAGAATTTTTAGTTCTAAAAGTTGAAGGCATAGAAAAGCTACCATTTCAAGTTATAAAATCAAGAAGTTTTGACCAGTTTAGCCTCTTTCCTTTTTTTGGTCCATTTGGCTTAAGAAAGAAACATTTGCATGCATTATTAGCTTAACTGCTAAGGGAGGCTGCTGTGTTAGTTTGAGGATTTGATGAGCTATTTGTACTTTCTAAGTCTTTAAACCACTTGTGCACTTGCAGTGTCAAATACTGACTTCTCATGAGTTCTTTTTCCCTAGGAAAAGGTGACTGTTCAGTTCACACTGTAGTTGATTAGCTTCTAATATCACCAAAAAAAAAAAAAAAAAACATAAGCCATAACTTTTATGAATGCTGCAATACAGGACTGAGGAATTTAATTGATGGCTTTTCATTATGTGGCTTTTATGAGAGAGATTTAAATAAAGTATACAGAAACTGTGATGAAAACAATACAGAAGTCAGGAAGCACCTTCCAAAGGGAGAAAAAACTTCTTTAATCTAACTAGGAACATTTTTGTTAAGCACCATATTTAATGCCCAACTTTTATAAAAAGTATATTTGTAGTTTTTCAGATATTTTTTCTTAGCTATAAAATGAACAAAGAAATAGGCTCAGATGAAGAAAAAAATGAAAATAAGATAGTACCCCATAACAGAAATTTTCTTTGGTTTCCTGAAACTTAAATCCTGGTGGGGTAGGCAAAATTAATAAAAACACCTTCAGTAAGCAATACTGTGCCATAGAGAGGTTACAGTTCCTTCTGACAGGAAGGCTAGGAAAGACATAAAAAGATTCCTTTGCTGTCCTACTGTATTGGCAGTCTTTAACATGCGTCTGCTCTACCTTCGACCAAAACTTCCATGGTTTTTCAATTGCAGGTCTTAATCTTCGCCTTCATTTACGATCTCCCAATCAGGCAGCTTCCTGAATGATATTCTGCACAACATTAAGTAATGTTGCCTGAGTTGGCATTAAATTTTAGATGAGAATTATAGCAAACATAGTATATAAAGCACCATGTCTTAGTAAAATTGCTTTTCTCATCCTCTTAGAAGACCCTCATCCAAGACTA